TCATAGACGATTACTCACGTTATGGGTACCTATATCTTATTCATAAAAAATCTGAGTCTCTGGACATGTTCAAAGCTTATAAAGCTGAAGTTGAGAATCAACTCAACAGAAGAATTAAAACCGTTAGATCTGATCGTGGTGGTGAGTACTACGATAGATATGATGGTTCAGGTGAACAACGTCCAGGACCATTTGCTAGATACCTAGAGGAATACGGTATCGTTCCACAGTACACCATGCCGGGTTCACCTAGCATGAATGGTGTAGCTAAAAGACGAAACAAGACTCTTAAGGATATGGTAAGAAGTATGATTGCTCATTCTTCTTTACCAGAGTCTTTCTGGGGAGAAGCACTAAAGACAGCAGCTTACATTCTGAATAGAGTACCAAGTAAAACAGTTGCTAAAACACCTTATGAGCTTTGGACTGGTCGAAAGCCCAGTTTAAAACATTTACATATTTGGGGATGTGCAGCTGAGGCAAGGCCTTATAGGCCAAATGAAAAAAAATTAGACTCCAAAACAGTTAGCAGCTATTTTATTGGGTACTCTAAACGCTTTAGGGGCTATAAGTTTTATGATCCCACACTAAAAAATATTTTTGAGATGGGAACAGCAACATTCTTTGAGGATGTTAAGTTTGGGGGGAGAAATAAGGTTAGAGACATTAGTTTTGAGGAGGAATTGACTTCAGATCCAATCCATACAGTTACTTTTGACAATATTCAGGTTCCTATACCTGTTGTTGCTCAAGAAGTAAATCCGGAACCTCAAGATGACAATGTTGAACAACTCCCTGTTCCAGAAGAACAAACTTAACAACCTCAAGAACCAGTGCCATTAAGGAGATCCACGAGAGAAAGGAGAAATGCTATTTCGGATGATTATATTGTATTTTCTTCAAGAACATGAGGAAAGTAGTGGAATGTTGGAAGATGATCCAATCAACTTCTCTCAGGCCATGAAAAGTTCTAACTCTCAACAGTGGATTGATGCCATGAATGAAGAGTACAAGTCTATGCAAGACAATAAAGTTTGGAAACTTGTCCCATTGCCAGAAGGTGCAAAACCAATTGGTTGTAAATGGATTTTTAAAACCAAGCGGGATGTAAATGGTAATGTGGAGAGATATAAGGCACGTCTTGTGGCTAAAGACTATACTCAAAAGGAAGGCATTGATTATACAGAGACTTTCTCTTCGGTTTTATCGAAAGACTCTTTCAGAACAATCATAGCACTTGTTGCTCATTATGATATTGAGTTACATAAGATGGATGTTAAGACTACATTTCTTAATGGAGACATTGATGAGATGATTTATATGGTGCAACCAGAAAACTTTATGTCAGGAGACCCAAAGAATATGGTCTGCAAATTAAGGAAATCTATCTATGGACTCAAGCAAGCTCCTCGTCAATGGTATCATAAGTTTCAACAAATAATTATCTCGTTCGATTTTGAGATGAACATTGTTGATGACTGTGTATATCACAAGTTCAGTGGGAGTAAGTATATCTTTCTGGTTCTGTATGTCGATGACATATTGCTTGCCACTAATGATATAGGCATGCTGCACGAAACCAAGAGATTTCTATCAAAGAATTTTGAGATGAAAGATCTTGGGAATGCCTCTTTTATATTAGGAATCCAGATACATCGAGATCGCTCTCGGGGTATTCTTGGATTATCACAAAAGAACTATATCGATAAGGTACTTAAAATGTTTGGCATGCAAGACTGCAGACCAGGAGACATCCCTATAGCTAAAGGAAACAAATTTAGTCTCAATCAATGCTCTAAAGGTAACCTTAAAATTCAGGAAATACAGAAGATTCCTTATGCTTCAGCTGTAGGAAGTCTAATGTATGCTCAGGTATGTACGCGTCTGGATATTGCGTACATTGTTGGGATGTTAGGCAGATACTTAAGAAACCCTGGTATGGATCATTGGATAGCAGTCAAAAGGGTTATGAAGTATCTTCAGAAAACAAAAGATTATATGCTCACATACAGAAAATCAGAATAGCTGGAGGTCATTAGGTACTCTGATTCTGATTTTGCTGGATGCCAAGATAGCAGAAAGTCTACATCAGGCTACATTTATATGTTAGCAGGAGGAGTTATTTCATGGAAAAGTGTCAAACAAACACTTGTAGCTTCCTTCACTATGTCAGTAGAATTTGTAGCTTGCTATGAGGTATCCAATCAGGGAATATGGCTGCGAAACTTTGTCACGGGACTGCACATTTTGGAAAATATGGAAAGACCACTAAGGCTATATTGTGATAATAAATCTACAGTAATGTATTCCAATAACAACAGGAGCTCAACTAAGTCAAAACATATTGACATTAAGTTCCTGGTTGTGAAAGAAAGGGTACAGAGTGGACAGATATCCATAGAGCACATTGGGACAAACTCCATGATAGCTGATCCTCTTACTAAGGGATTGCCACCCAAGGTCTTTCATGAGCACACTGCTCATATGGGTGTGGTGTTATTTGAGGATTTCATGATTTAGTAGGAGTTTGTAATTGTGGTGCTCTGTGTTTGGTTATATTGTTTGATCAGAATAAAGTATATTCAGTTAAGATACTCTGTTACTTTGTGTTTGGTTTTGACCTCACTAAAGTAGGACTAGTTAAAAATAGATATGTACTGATCACATTGCATGTAATTTTCATGCTGCATAACCATGATTGATCTATGTCGTTTGATTGTATTGGTATATGCGACCATTGATGGGTCGAGTCACGATAAATGTGACGAAGACCGCTTTGATCCTATATTGATATAGTCAATGGACGAGATTATTCGGAAATACCTTTTCAGTGATAGCAATTTTAAGCTCATAAGGTTATACACAATTTAATGAATCATATGGTGCCCAAGTGGGAGATTGTTGGATTTAAATCTAATTAAATCTATTTGTGGACACATATGATTAATCTGTATGTATTGCTATCCTTCAGGATAACCCACTAAAGTGATCAATTAATTTGGGTTAATAGGTATTTAGATAAGTCATGGGGTTATATGTGCAGATACTAGGTTGTAATTGTAATTTGATGAGGGGCCAAATTATAAATGTACAACACCTATAAAAAATGTGTTATGATCCCTAATCTAGGGTTACATTCTCTAATTCTCTTCACCCCCATCTAGAGAGAAATTTGGCTATTTAAACCCTAAGGTTAGAAGATCCAAAACCCATCTCAAGTTTAATCTATGGATTCAGGTATAAGCTTCCGCTCTTTTCTTTTGATTCTTGTAAATCTCTTTGAATTAATCATGGCTTTATGGTTTAGATCTCAAGTTTTTTTATAAGATATAACAGCTTATGCATTTTTTCAGATAGCCCTCATAAATTAGAACAAAAAAAGGCATATTGGGAGTTTAGTGCAACTAACCCGAAAGATATTGGGGGGTTTCCGTAAAAGTGATTGTGGGTTTAGTATGATTTTGAAAGTTTTGGGTGTTTATTACGAAACGCTGAAAGTTCTTGGGGGTGTAATTTAATTACTCCTTTTTCCCCCGTACCCCTCAAAGTCTTTGGTTTCATATAAAAGTTTCAAAAGTTTAATTATTTTGATATACTTCGAGGACAATTGTCATAGGCTGCTTGCAGAGCAGCAGAAGTATTTGTGATGAGAAAACTTCCTCTCCTTGGTCGCACGCACGTACACAACAAAGACCACACCCGTGTCGCCCATATTCTACAAGCTATGAAAGACAAACATGAACTTACAAAGCTTTGATGAGGTACGATTTCTAAGAGTGGGAATATTTGTCTCTTTACTCCCCTAAAATAAAAGAGTATCTCTATTTCAAATAAGAAAAATAAAGGGTTATCGTTACCACGGCCTTTCTCGTTGAGGCCATCTTGTGAACATGATGCATCCGTAGGCCAAGGGAGGCCCTGAAGACCAAATATCCCTTCTTTTTTGGGATATACTCTTCCAAACAAAAAGAAACATTTCTTCTTCTTCCTCCCGATGAGGGGTTGGTTAATCGAATCCTGTGGAGAATCTTGAAGGAAAAATCAATACAAGGAGTTACGAGGAGATAGTTATAAGTTCCCAGCAGTAATTATGATCTGTTTCCGATAAGGCTAGTACTTACACTGATATAATAATTTAATTGCTCTGATAAGTTTCTAGCATGGGGTATAAAGTTGGTGATTGCACTAATACAACTGTCTATAGTAAGAAGAAGAACAGCAACAACAAAGCTTTTACCCCAAATGTTTGGGGTCGGTTACATGAATCATCTCCTCCGTTACATTAATTATTATCATACCCTTCTTAAATATAGTAAGAACAACATACATTTAGTTTTATTATGGGTCATCTCCTCCGTTAAATTAATTATTATCATATCATTCTTAATTGTTTCAAACCAAGTTCTTTTAGGCCAACCTCTAGATCAATTTGTCCCATTGACTGTAATATTATCACATTTCCTAACAAGTGCATTAGGCGATCTCTGTTGCATATGACCAAATCATCTTAGTCTATTCTTTCTCATTTTATCCTTAATTGGAGCAATCTCTAATTCACTACAAATACATTTGTTTCTTATCGTACCTTTTAGTGTATACCCACAAGCCCATCAAAACATTCCTATTTCTGCTACTATCATTTATTGCACATGTTTTTTCTTAATTGCCCAACATTTCGACCTATAAAGCATGGTCCGTCGTATTACTATTCTTCCCTTTAGCCTCATATGTATTGTACTGATACAATAGTCTAAACTATTTTTACTTAATGTTGACGATTGTAGTTATACAATATCTAATTACAGTAAAAGTGACTGCACTAATTATATATTGACCTGTACTAATTTAGAATTAGCAGTGTAAGTACTTGTCATACTCTTTCTTTCTATATGACTTTCTACGGAGTGCCCTTACTATAGAATTTTTTTTTTCCTTCAAAATTGTAGATCTTTATATTACAAGAGAGAAACTTATCACCAAATAATAAATAAGCTTAAAATATGGACAAATCAAACTTAGATAAGGTTTAGATAAGAGCTTAAAATGTATTTAGCAAAACCTTGTATAAGATTAGTAAAACAACTTTTTTTTAGTTAAAAAATGATGTCTTTTTCTAGGTTACCTTTGAACTGCGCCTCCCTTGGTTGAATCCTTACACGTTAAGGGCCCGTTTGATTGTATGTTTTTACCATGTAAAATGATGGAAAGTGTAAAAAAGTGGGTCTCAATGTCAGCTTTCATCACTTTCAATTGTTTGTTTGTAATTGTGAATATAGTGTAAAGTGGTTTCATATGCTGATGTGGCTTGTAAAGTGATTTCATAAAAAAAAGACATGATTTTAGGAGAAACACTAGTGGAAAAATGGGTTTTATTGACGGCAACATCGCTGACGGGACATTGCCGTCAGTGATGTTTACATCGTTGACGGGATTAACCGTCAGAAATGTTGCCGTCACTAGAGTTTCGATCCCGTCAGCGATGTAAACATCGCTGACGGGATATGAACATCGCTGACGGGTAGCCCGTCAGCGATGTTGGCTATATACCCCTTTTTACCAGTCCCGTTTTTCTCTCAGTTCTCCCCAAAAAATTCATTCCACCGCCAAAAATTCATCCCCTAAAATTTTGTCCCACCGCCAAAAATATTCATCCCAAAAATTTCATCACCCCGCAGACCCCAAGACCAACGTCCAAATAAACTTCAGCATCTCTGACCCCGACTTCAGCATCTCTGAAATTGACTTCCCCTCCCTCTCTGACGACACCCCCGCCGCCTCCGGCGACGCTCCTCATCGGCCGCTCCCAGCGGCGGCACGCGGGAGGAGCTTGTCGGTTGACACGGTGTTTTTCGAGGGGCTAGGGTTAGGGTTTCAGCAGGGGGCCGGAGGCGGAGGAGGGAGACATAAGAGGCGCGGGTCGATGGATTGGTCGAGGACGAGCTCGATGTTTGACGGGGATTCGTCTACGACGACGAGTTTGGATTATGCAAAGAAGGCGATGGCGGCCGATAAGCTTGCCGAGCTTGCGTTGATTGATCCCAAGAGAGCCAGAAGGTGAGGTCTTCTTCTGATTATTAGCATAGGGGGGGGACTTGTTGCTTGTCTTCGGTGAAATTTGTGGGTTTGTTTGGCTTTATGTTGTAGGATTCTTGCAAATAGGCAATCTGTGGGAAATTTAAGATTGCACCCTTCAGCTCCCCTCCTGATCCCAAGAGAATTCTCAGAGCAATGTCAGGTACACGATTATGATATACCTGCAGGTACCCGTGTCGTGCTCAATGCATGGGCGATGGGGAGGGATCCAATGTACTAGGATGAGCCTGAGATGTTCAGGCCAGAGAGATTTGAAGGGAGCTCAGTTGATTTGAAGGGAACGGATTATGAATTCATACCTTTTGGAGCTGGGAGAAGAATTTGTCCAAGGATTTTATTTGGACTGGCTTCAATGGAGCTGGTTCTTGCTAATCTTCTATTTTATTTTGAATGGAGTTTGCCTGAGGGCATAAATGAGCTTGATATGACTGAGAAGTTTGGATTAGGCGCTGTAGGCATATAAAATTGCTTATAGGTCCCTTAGCACAGCTCGGCACAAACCGACAAACCAACGAGGCGACGAGATCGACGAATCGCACGCAAGCAACGGAATGCATCCATTCGCGTGCGGAATCAAGCCAACGATTCAGGGAGTCAACGAGTCATTCAACCATAGAATGGATTCGAACTCAAGCGCCAAGGCGAATTTACTGCCAAATCAGGATCCGGACACCAAATCAGAGTCCAGATCAACAGTAAAGCTCGGGTAAACCGATAAACCGTGAAACCGGATGACGGACGACGCGGCGAACACCCGAAAAGAGGCTCAGAAACCAAGTCATCGAGGCGGCTCACCGAGCCACCAAGGTGGCTCGGTGGCCGAGCCACCTTGGTGGCCGGCTGCACTGTGCCCAAGGCACAGTGAGGGTAGCCTATAAATAGGCCCCCTTTTGTTCATTTTCAAAGGTTGGAAAATTTGGAGAGAGGCGAAGCCCTGCTGGATTGGAGACTCAGATCTAAAAAAGATCTCAACTTTGGGACTTCGAGGACTTGCTCATTCAGATCTGGTGCTCGGCGACCGTCAACGCCAAATAAGGCAGGTGTTCGAGAGGGCCGGATCTCAGATCTACGCAGACGTACTCCGGATCTAAGCTTGGTCTTAGATCCCGAGACTTGGACGATTGTTTCCTTGGTGAATCAATCCTCCCCGGCTATTATTTTCTTCGTGGAATAATACCCGTAGTACTGCTTAGATCTGATCGGATCTAGATCTCGCGGTGGTCCACGGATAAACCCCGGCGCAGGCAAAGAACCCACATCAAGCGAGCGACCGCAAAATAGGAGCTCGTGATTTGTTCGACAAACAAGGATAAAAAAGTTGTAATCTTTCTTTTATTTTCTTTGATTTTCATTGTAACCGGATCTAAAAAAGACCGGATCTTCTATAACCGAAAAACTGTTATTCAAGATAGCAATGGAATCAATGAAGAAAGCCCCGCGAACAATCTGGCGACCACAGTGGGAGCCACCGATCTCGCTGCCGAGATCGTTGCGTCGCAGCCGCGGATCTCGATCCCGGTCGAGGAGGAGGTCGAGTATGAGTTCGACCAAGCCAAGTTCGAGGAGTACGTGTCCTCGTCCGGATCTACCTCCCTCCGCAAGTCCAAGAAATCCCAGAAGTTCTCCTCCAGGAGAAAGGTTCGTTGGTATGAAGAAGTCGAAGCCACCAACGAAGATCTCGCCCCGTTTGATGCCAAAGTCGCATCGGGTGAGATTCCTCCAGTTTCCAACCAGGTCAGATCTGCTCTGGCCAACTCTTCTGCCACAGAGGGCGTGGTGACTCTCTCGAAGAGAGCCCGCCAAAGGCAACGTCAACGCCTTGCGAAACGATTCGCAAAGGCCATGGAGTCAGTTGACGGGATCCGCTACAACGTGGATCTAAAGAACAAAAGAGGCAGGCAGCCTCAACAATCAACGAATGATGGTTCCTCCAAGCCGCCAACAATGGAATGGGTCCGTGTCAAACGGAACCGATCGACGCTGGAGGGGCGCATTCGCAAGCGCCGCGCACTATCAGCGCAGGCACGGGCTCAAGCTGAAGAAGCCCGTAGAAAGCTGCAGAAAGAGGTAGCCAAGAAGCCGCCACCAACTCGCAAAGTTTGGAGGCCGAAGTCTGAAGCGGCGGTTCAGACCAAAAAGCAGCAACTGCAGCCCCTGACAGTTCAACCTCCGGCGAATCAATCCAGATCACCGAGAATTCCCATAGCTACTCCGGGAGATCCCACAAGACCATCCCAGAGGAGGAAGTCAGTTTTGGAGCACCTCGGTCCGCTTCCCAAAGAACGAGGCAAAGCTCCAGTTCAAGAACGGTTGGGGCCAATGAAGAAGTCCCAAAC